TCTCTCTTTCCTCATCATGTTTTCCATGTTCTTCAAATCTTAGCTCAAAATTACCAGCAGTAAAAACCTGACCTTGACCCACCTGGCTATCTTCTTCCACTTCGATTCTGCTGCACCAGCTGTGCCTTTCCATGACCGTTTGACAGCCTTTTTCTTTGTGAGAATTTTAAAATGATATCAAGGGGTCTGTCTTGCCAAATGTTCATTTCAAGAAAAAGCTGGCACCGGAAGTCAGTCAGTCACATCACTAACGCATGTTTAATTTGCCAACATTTTTTCATAGCAAGGCTTCCCTGAAGAAGGAATTAGTGCGCGTTTCATTCACTGTAAAGTGGCACTTTAACAACACTGAACTAGGTGGTAAGGGTGTTAATGGCCGTTTTCCTCTTGCCAGTCCTGTGGGAGGGTGGAACAGCCTGCTGTGAGGGATCTGATGACTGGTTCATGGTGAGGTATTATCTTTACAGAGTGATAATCACTAATAAGAGGTGAGACTTTTGAGTGTTCACTCTATGTCAAGGCCTGTTCTATGTAGTTTGCATGAATGAGCTCACTTGAACCTTACAATGACCAGTGAGGTGGGTACTCACATTGTCCCCATTCTGCAGAGGGAGAAACAGAGGCCCTAAGACAGGGGTGGGCAACCTTTTTGTGAGTGCGTGCCCAAACCAGCAAAATCTCTGACTCAAAATTCTTCTGCGTGCCAACCCTAATTTTTTGAGAACATGTTACGCCTACTTGATATCTCTTAAGGTGTACGTATGTGAAGAACCTCGAAGAAATAATAAAATTCATTCGAGCGACAAAAACACAATATATGATGATGAAAAATACGTTTATTTTTTAATGTGTACATGTACACTGATAGTCCGACAGAAAACTTTATGACTGTTTGATATTATCAGTGGGACTTTTGCTGCTGCATCACTGATGACAGAGATTTTACATCAGGTTTATATTTCATGACCTTCAGAAATATGCACGAGCTACTACTTTCATCCGTCAGGCTACTCCTATTATGAGACTTAACAAAATTCATCACTGAGAACAAAGATTCACAAGCGTAAGTGGATGAAGCCAAAACACTGGTTGGATCTAGGAAGGCAGGGAGAGTTAAGGCAGAGGCATATAAATTGCTCTTCCCCTCTCTCGTCAATCCATGTCTATGGTCTTTAAGATAACTTGTTATGTAAAATTATTTATCTAAGATGCACCTACACTGAATATATCTGAAAAATAAAAAAGGTGATATTAAGAAAAAAATTGTAAATGGAAGATTATAAGAGAGGGTTTCGTGTGCCAGCAAAAGTTACTGGCGTGCCATGTTTGGCACGCGTGCCAGGGGTTGCCCACCCCTGCCCTAAGAAATTGATTAACTTTCCCTAAACCTTAATGTTAGTAAGTGGCTATGTCAGAATTCAAATCCAAATCTGTTTGACACCAAAGTCGTGCTATAGCTAGATCACAGTTGTACAACAGAAACTTCTGCAGTGATGAAAATAGTCTGTGTCTGGCCTATGTGGCTCAGGGGTTGAGCATCAGCCCACACACCAGGAGGTCACCAGTTCTATTCCCAGTCATGGCATATGCAAGGATTTTGGGCTTGATCCCCAGCAGGGGGCGTGCAGGAACAGCCAATCGATGTTATTTCTCATTGATGTTTCTATCTCTCCCACTCCCTTCCTCTCTCTCTCTCTAAATATCAATAAAAACATTTTTAAAAAATGTTTTGTATATGCTGTGTGCAGTATGGTAGCCAATAACCACATGAGTACTTGAAATGTGGCTAGCTCAACTGAGGAAGTGAATTTCCAGTTTCATTTTATTTTAATTAACTTATGATTATATTTAAGTAGCCATCTGTGGCTAGTGGCTACTAAATTGGACAGCACAACTCTGGATACTTTTTGTATGTGGCAGACTATAAGCTAATGGGAAAACCAAGCCAGGAAAATACATTAATAGAATATGCTATTCTTTCTCCATTTCTAGAGTTTCCCTAGATCCCACATTAAAGAAAAAAGGCTGATCTGTTGCCATATGGAAGATTCAATTTAAAAATGAATTAGTGACTGCCTCCTCTGGTTCAGGCACTTTATTAAGCTTTGGGCATTCTAAATTACCAAGCTACGGTTCCTGTCTTCAAGGAGCTCATAATCTCAGTAACTCTGAAGAATATGTTATACATTTTTCCCCAGAGTTTCTTCATAGATGATAACACAAAGATTTAAATCTCTCCTCTCTAATTCTTTGCAGTATTTTGCCTTTATTTTTAATATTTTCTTAACAAACATAGACTATTCTTTTTTTACTGCAAAACAGACTTATTGATGCCAACTCTGAAATGTTGCTGGAACCACTCTCCTCATAATCCATTTACAATTATCCATTTTCAGAAGTGTCAGTCCTGTAGTATTCTGGTCACTTCCAATTATTTGTCTAGTCCAGCGGTTCTCAACCTGTGGGTCGTGACCCCTTTGGCGGTCGAACGACCCTTTCACAGGGGTCGCCTAAGACCATCCTGCATATCAGATATTTACATTACGATTCATAACAGTAGCAACATTACAGTTATGAAGTAGCAACAAAAATAATTTTATGGTTGGGTCACAACATGAGGAACTGTATTTAAAGGGCCAGAAGGTTGAGAACCACTGGACTCTAGTCTATTTAAAATCCCAACCACATCTCCATATGTTCCTCCAGTTCAAGTAATAACTGGGACTAGTAGGGGGAAAGGGTGCCTTCTAGCTTCCTCTTTCTAGTTCTAATTGTTGGAAGTTAGAGACTGAGAGGGTGGCATAGGACCAAAGGGCCAGATGTCTCCTGCTTAACTAGGCCATCCTCTGTTGGTTGTTGCTTCTTTTCCTGGCTAACAGTAACTGATCTTTGATACCTTCTGTATGAGAGGGTTCTAAAGTTGGGCTCTCTTATAGGATATGTGTGTGAGTTCTTCCACATTACATATAGTGGCCCCCCCACAGGCCTTCTGTGGGTGATCAGGCTTAACCTCCCCTGGTGGTACAGCTCAACAGTTCTCATTATCTGAGTCCCATTGGAGGCCAGGCTTGATCACAGCTTTGCTGGATCAAACACTGGAAACAAAATATGATACTTTTCTCCATTATTTTTTTTCTTTTGCCAGGTAAGTTTAAGAGCAAGTCAATAATACCATTAGCTGATATGATATCCAGCCAAGGGATAAAATGCCAGTCTGTATTAATCATCTCTGGCTGCCATAAAAATACCATACCTGGACTTCTGGAAGCTGGGAAGTCCAAGATCAAGATCAAGATACTGGCTGGTTCAGTTCTCTGATGAGGACTCTCTTCCCGGATTGCAGATGGCTGCCTTCTCACTATGTCCTCACATGGTGGGGAGGAGAGAGGAAGCAAGCTCTCTAGTGTCTCTTCTTATAAAGGCACTAATTTTATTATGAGGGTCCCACCTTTATGCATTCACTTAACCCGATTACCTCCCAAAAGCCCCATCTCCAAATACCGTAACATTAGAGGGTAAGGTTTCAATGTGAGAATTTGGGTTCAAAACATAATCTCTCTGTGTATAGCCACATAGCAATTTTCATCCTGTCCTCAGCTTATGATTTCAATCTTTGTCTTTCCCTGACCGTTATTTTAGTCTCCTGTATATGGACTGGGGTTGGGCTCTTGAAGTAGAGTTAGTGATTTGTAAGTCATAGACATATTAAGGGTTTGCTGACCTCTGCGTTAGTCCTGGAGCAGGTATCTGACGTAGCTAAGAAGCTCCTTTAGACTGTGGGCCAACCTAATGCTTCTTTATTCCCAACATTGGGTTTTAGTCACCAGTTCCAGGGAAAATGTAAAGCTACATTTAAAATCATATTAAAATATCATTCCTCACCCACCCTCTTGAATTCTGAGCCTCCACAAGAAACATTCCCTTTGAGTAACACTACTTCAAGGCCAGCTCAAATGTACCCACTCTCTGAAATCTTTCCAAGTTCCTTATCTTCCTCATCTCTATAGAATTAATTGCCTCACTCTATTTTTACATGGGGCTTTCTCAACTCTTCTATTGAAACACTAACAGCTTTATTTAGTTGTTTGAAGTTTTCCCCACACACAGGTTGGTGAGTTCTTTAAGTATTAAGACCAGTTATTAGAGCATCTAGTATAGGTCCTTATATACAGGTTTGAGTAAATATTTTTCAATAAATAACTCAAGAAAGTACCAGTATGCAAACATATATATTGAAAGTCTAAACTTTTGGACTTAACATTATATTAACCTTTAACTATATCAGTAACAGCCAGAAATAAGATTATACATACAATTTTATTATTAATATAGATATTCTTTATATCATGAACCATTCTGATCTTTGGTTAAAGTGTTTCTTAATTTACTTTACAAAATAGGATTTATAATGCTTAACTATTTTAAATGCTGTAATTAAGTTACACTACTTTTTAAGTAGGAAACATACTACTTTATGGTTTCCTAATGGTATAATCTGTTGGCATAGTTAAACCCCTTCAAAATGACATATTCCTTGAAAACATGATGTATTTTACTACTGAGTGTTTGCAGGGAGACTTTGTCACTTCACTCTTAGAATAAATGTTTGCAACTTAGAGATGGTCAGTAATGACATCGAGTCCACAAACACATTTGACATCACATTTGCTTTGTGGGGTTGTTTTTTTGTGTGTGTGAGAAAATAAAAAACCATTTCACTGGAGAACTGTATGAAATGTTATAGTTTCTTTTAAATGATGTATGATTATTTGTCTTCCAAATGAAATAGCCAACATGGATGTGAGTTAAGTTATGGGGAAGTCTGAAGGTTTTAGGAAAAATTAACCCCCCCAAATTCCTATTGACTTCTGAAGCTTTCTCCATATGAGTCTTCTTGTTTTTTCTAGCCTGATCTGTGTGGCAGTAGCTAAATGTGAGGATGGGAGAATCGTTCAGTATGTACTCTTAAATCATTTTACCCCTCTCCTTGGCTTCTACAGAATCCATTTCCACATACGGCCATCTGGTTCTTTGAAGCAGTGCCCCATCATGTGCCATGCTGGTGTTGTCACAGGACGCAGAGAAGTCAATGTTAGCATATAGCCAGCCCACAGGAAGTCATGTAAGTAAGGTTTTAAGAATTATATCAGGCAGTATAGATTTTTTAATGTAAGCATGTAATGAATAATAATGAAGATGTGGCAAACCAGGTGAAGTTATATATAGGGTGTCCCCAAAAATGCATATATACAGTTTTAATATTTATAAAAGTAGTGTTTATTAAATTACATTTCATTTTCAAAATTCAGCTATCAGCTGTTGAAGTGTGCATACATTTTTTGAGCACCTGTATATACTCAGAAATTTTTAAATGAGCATCTTGGCTAAAAAGGAAAATGCCATTTGTCATAGAATATTTAAGGCATTTTCTGAGGACAGAGAACATTGCATATATCAGAGGTGGGCAATATATATTTTTTCTGAAAAGAGCCAGGTGGTAAATATGGTAGGCTTTGTAAGCCAGATGATCTTAGTCATAACTGCTCAGCTGGGCCTTGTTGTTGTTTGGCAGCCATAGACGGGATGGGCGTGGCTTTCTTCCAACAAAGTCTTATTTACAAAACAGGTGAAAGGTTTGGCCTGTGGGTCATAGTTTGTCCACTGTTGGCATGCAAGATGAAGACATTATACATCTCATTTTCTGTAATTATTTATGTTAATTTGAAAGGAACTGGAGAGCTTAAAATTAAATAATGAACGCAATTCAGCTACTCAATTTCTGAGTGATTTTGCCACTGTCAAGAAAGCAGAGAATAATGTAGATTAGGTTTTTTGAATGGCATATTGAAACTTTTGAAAAATATTTTGGAATAATGTAAATTGAAGTTCAGCCTCAAGAACTAAACAAAATAAAGTTACAGACATGGAAACCCAAGAAACTGACTTTCTCTTGATAAAGTGAATATACTTTTATTTTATTTTTACTTTCAGTAATATTAGCTCTTTCAGAAAAAATCCTGGAGCATGTGTATAGATCAGGAAAAAATATGAAATAAAGGGTTTATGAAAACTGAAACTCTTTACAAGAATCTTAGGAGGAAAAGGTAAATTCCTATCTTGGGCAATCATTTCTGGCATCAGAAAATAATAAGTAAATAAACATTGAAAGGAAAAGTATGAAGAACATGCTTTTTTCCTATAATTACCTACAAAGTAAAACTTATCCTCTAATTTCATATCCTTCCTTGAAACTGCTCTATTTCCTAGAATTTTAATTAAGAATTCCCCAAACTCAAGAAACGTACTAACAGTCTTAGGGGAAAACACATACTAGGTATTGCTACCATTGAGGAACCCAGCGATCATTAAGAAGTAATATGTCAGGATAAAGAAGGGTTCATACTAGGAATGAAATATGATTTCTATTATATTCATCATATTCATTGATCTAAGGGAGAAAAGGCATATGTAGCATATGTTAATCTCTATAGATGCTGAATAGTCATTTGACAAAATGCAACAGTCCTTCTGAATGATAAGAAAAACAAAAGATGACTCAATAGAGTAAGAGTTAAACATATTATGACCATGACAGACTGAAAGACTGTTTATGCACTAACATGCATATACACAAACAGCTGAGCCCAGACACAGCCTTAGAAGTAATGTCAACATGCTACAGGCTTTCTGCTGTGTCTGCTATAAGTACAAATGAAATGAAAAGGGTGCATAGGTCTCACCATTAGTGCAGCTCTCCTGAGTTATTTATTAGTCAGCAAAGCTAGACAGGAGAAAGGAATGTGAGGATAACGTTTAGAAAGGTGAAAGTAAAACTGTTATTTGTGGATGACTTAATACTTAGAAAACCCAAAAGAAGCTAAAATGTTTCGATTTCAACATCTAAAAGAGAAAAAAAGATAAATCTGACACACAAAAATTTTTTTTTGGTTGGCAAAAACAAATCAAAACAAAAAACCCCAGCTACTCTGGGGAAATTCTAAAGGATAATGATAAACTAAGAAAAAATATCTGCCTCTCAAATAACCAAGCATTTTCTCGCTAATATGCTAAATTGTGGGGGTGTAGGGAAGTGCAAAGCAATAGAAGGATGGGCAAAGATTATGAAGGGATAGTTTGCATTAAAAGAAATACAAATTCCATTTCAACTCATAACAATATTCAACCTCCTATAAAATACTCGGTTTTTACATTTTATTTAAGAACTATGGGAATGTAAGTATATACTTCTAAGTTTGCTTACATTTCATAGGAGCATTTTCAAGAACCCACAGGAACTGATAAAAATGGTTGTCTGAATAAAGACAAGAGGGTGGAGGGAAAACAGGGTGGCCAGGGACAGGAATCAGGGCACGATTTCTAAATGGATACCTCTCATATTGTCTTGTTTTTCAACCACGTGGATAGATTACCTTTATAGAAAAAAATATTATAAAATGTATTTTTTTTCAAATTTGTAAAACGAAGAATTGCATCTCATTTTATTTTGTATTCTTGATTATTATAGACATTGAGTTTCTTTAAGTTTTCATTTATTATTCATATTTTCATTTTTTGAAATTATCTCTTCAATTCCCTACATTTAGAGATATTTTCATTTTTGTAAACCAAATTTTCTAATTCTTTACAACAGTGGTCGGCAAACTGTGGCCCCTTGAGTGTGGCTCTTCCACAAAATACCACTTGTGGGCGCGCACGTACAGTGCGATTGAAACTTTGTGGCCACACTCAGAGAGCCAAAGAGCCGCATGTGGCTCACGAGCCGCAGTTTGCCGACCACTGCCATACAATATAAGCAACCAGTACATTTTAACATACTTATTTCACTTAAAAAAATCTGTTTATCTTATCATTTTGTTTACTATACATTAACTTACAGGACTTCGTGATTTTTATTTTGTCAAATCTATCAATCTTATTTTCTTAAGTATTTAAAAAGTTGTTTTAAAGCCTATCCAGGATGATATACTTATATATTTTTTAATAGAATATCTTTTTTTTTAAATTCTCACCTGAGGATATTTTTTCCATTGATTTTGTTTTTTAGAGAGAGTGGAAGGGAGGGTGGAGGGGGAGAGAGAGAAAAAAACATCGACATAAGAGAGACATATGGAGAAGTTGCCTCCTGCTGGAGGGTTCTTTTTTTTTCTTTATTGATTAAGGTATTACATATGTGTCCTTATCCCGCTCCCCTCCTCGTACCCCCCATCCCCCGCCCATGCCCTCACCCCCCTGGTGTCTGTGTCCATTGGTTATGCTTATATGCATGCATACATGTCCTTTGGTTGATTTCTCCCCCTTGCTGGAGGGTCCTTGACCAGGAATTGAAACTGGTCAAGACTGAGGGCTGATGCTCTAACCACTGAGCAAATCTGGCAGGGCTAGAATGTCTTTTTTTAAAAGCTGGAACTTGTCATATGATGTGAGATGAGAATATTATTCTTCTCCTAAATAGCTAACCAATGGCTTCTCAGAATGTTTGTTAAATAATGTTCTCTTACCTGCTGTGTCATGATTCAGTGTTTCATGAAGTCATCTATTCATACTTCAGTGACAAATTTATTTTTTTGTGTGGTCAATTTTAACATCTACTAGGTCTAGTTCCTCTTTATTACTTCTCTATCTCAAAATAATTTTCACCAGTGGATTTTTCCCTATCAACTTTTAAGATCATAGTGTCAATTTAACTTTCTATATCCACTTATATGTCAAGTTCACTTCCAATTTTATTTCTTCTGAGATAATTTGGAAAAATAATAACTCTGTAGTGTATAGTGTTCCCATCCAGGAATAAAGTATACTTCTCAAATTATTTTGAGGATGGTCTTAGGCGACTCCTGTGAAAGGGTCGTTCGACTGCCAAAGAGGTCACGACCCACAGGTTGAGAACCGCTGTTCTATTGTCTGATTTTATTGACTTTTATTCAAATTCAATACATTCCTTATCATGTTCATTCTTAAGAATATAATTTTGTCATTAGTATGAACTAAGTAATTTTTTCTACATATTGCTAAGATATAGAATGATGAATATGAAAATTTTTATTTAATTTTTATTTATGATTTATTTTGTTCTAAACCATCCCATATAACTTGCTATTTTAGTTCTTATGATGCCTCATGTAATTTGCTTAGCTTTGTTAATTAAATACTTGTAAAAGAATATACCAGTAGTGGTTTTATTATTTTGAATAATTATAACTATAGTTTCTATTTTTCTGCCATTATTTGTGTTAATCAGAAATTCCAGAAAAATGCCAAATAATATCACCAGAGTATCTTATTCTGATTCCTGAATACAATGGGAATGAATACCTATAGTGATTTGCTAGTAAGCTTGATGTTAGTATTAAATTGAAGGAGATTTTTATTATCTTAAGAAATTATTATTCTATTCCTTTGATTAAGAATTTTTTTTTAAGAAAAGAACAGGTGCTGACTTTTGTCAAATGCATTTATAGGGCACAGTTGGTATAGTGTTTGGAGATCGGCTCACTAGAATTTGAAGCCTTATCTGCCACTTAGTAGCATTGCTATCAGTTTTATCATTTGTCAGATGGATACAGCAATGGTTCCTGCCTCATAGAGGTTCTATAAACAGCACATGAGCTAAGCCTTTAACCTGTTATGCATGGCCTTTGGATTATAGTAGGCACTTAATAAGCAATAGCTATTACTATCATCTATTCAGATGATGACACATTTTTTCTATGGAACAACTTAAAATGAAAGAATGTGAGAAAAGCAAGTCTGACAGGAATCAGAAAACAGTGACTTACTTTATTAAGAGCATATATCTGTCTACCCTGTGTTGGAGCACCTATGGTTCAATTCACACCCTATTTTCTTCCTTCTCAGTATGTCACTTACCTTTAAAAAATGGGTTTGCTTTGCCTAGTCAGCAAGATTAAGAAACAAGTTTGTGTTCTGCTTTTCAGAACTCTATTTATTCACTTATGGGGAGGAAGGGGGGAGTTAAATCAAATACTAATTTTTGAAACTCTGGATTTTTTAGTTATAATGGAGGATAATGTGAGATGTGTTTATTTTTTGTCATGTAGCAGTGTATATTTTATCACAAATTTTTGCTTGTCTTGTTTTGTT